TTGGGTCTGCGAAAATAGTTTGGGTTCGGGAGTCAATTATGCGTGGGAAAGAATTAGCACCTTGACGATACTCGTTTAAAATGGTTCCAATTAATTATGTGTTATCTTTTAATGTTGACAAAAATGGTCTTAATTTTGGTATTTAAAATTTAATTTCCTTAATTTTCCCTAAAACATTTTTTTTTTTATTTTTACTAAGCTTGAATAAATAAGAACCTTATATTGAAAAAATCCTAAAAATATTCCAATACTCTGGTAATATTAAAAGGAACCATCTCACCTAAGGAATTTTTAAGAATCGCTACTTGAAATTTTCAAAAAATCCTATCCTTAGTGATTATGATTTCATTCTCGAAGATTTTTTCTCTTTTTTTTAAATTATTATAAGTCATGTAATAATATAATTATCTACAAATATATTTTTTTTCCAAAAAAAAAAACACATTGTTATTTATTAAGAAAAACTGTTCAAATTAAAGAAAATAATTAAGAAATAGAAAATTTTCGTATTGAAAAGAAACTTCTAAATATTCTAATAATTTGGTAATTTTGATAAGACTTTTCTCACCTAGAAAATTCTTGGAAATCACTATTTGGACTTCCTGGAGTCCCATCATTGAAAATTCTCATTTCTTAATTTTATTGTTAAAAAATGCATGCTTTTATAAATGTGTATTTTTTTATTTTTAAGAGAATTGTTTAAATTAATTAAAAATTTTGTATTGAAAAGAGGTTTTAAATATTCCAATACATTGATAATTTTTAGAAATCTTTTCTTATATAAAGAATTCTCAAGAATCACTATTCAAATTTCTTAAGGTCCCATCATCGAAAATTTTATTTGCATTTAAAACTATGTAATGCAAGCAATCAAGTAGAATATGCATATGAAAAACATATATTGATTATGTTTAATCCTCTTTAATTATTTTCCAATTATCACTACAAAGTTTGAAATAAACAAAGTAAATAAAAATTTTTATTGAAAATTTTCTTATATACCCCAATACTTTGATGATATTTTAGAAAAATTTTCTTATCTAGGGATTTATTGGGAATCTCTACTCAAACTTCTTTAGAATTACATCTTCGAAAATTTTATTCACTTTTTCCTTTCTTAATTAATTTTATTCTAGCTTTAATTCTGATTTTTTTAATAAATTAAATTTTATTGAATCATTATACTCACGTATTATTATATTAATCTCGTTATTAAAAGAGTAATTATACATCATTTTATTATCACCTAATATGTTTTTAGGAAAATAGATGAAAATTTTTTTTGTATTGAATATTTTTCTAAATACTCCTTTACTTTGATAGTATTTTTAGAAAAATATTCCTACCTAGAGATTTTAAAAATCATTACTCGGATTTCTTTAAAATTTCATTATTGAAAATTTTCATCATCATCATCACTATTATCATTACTATTATTATTTGTTTTGCATAAATCTAAAGTGCATGGGAACTAATTTGCATTTAAAATAAATTAAAGTACGAAAAATGAATTGCTTAAAAATTAAAATGAATATGAAATTTTAACCAAACTAGTAATAAAAAGAAAATGCATGGGATTTGAATTATAATTATATCTGAAACAACATTAGAGAAATATAAATGATGATATAGAACATGCATGAAAATAAGCCTTATTGTAAAAAATTTCAACATCTTTTCAAACCTTTGTAAAAGTTGTGAACAACCCACAAAGAAGAATAAAACATTGCTTTGAACTAAGTGGGATGGTACTATTAACAAATAAAAAACCAAAATAGAAAAAACCTCTAGCCTTCCCATAAGTATCCATCACGCCACAAAGACCAATAAACCCAATAAATATTTAAAAATCAATAACCTAGTATATCACAGCATAAAATAAATCAACTTGAAAATGTATTGACCACAACTTCCATGATGTCAAGCTGAAAATGCACATGGCGTGTAAAGAAAAGAGAAGCCAATTCAATTGATATTAAAAAACATTTATATAAAAAATGAGCTATATAAATGAAAATACTGTGGCAGCTAAAAAAAAAAAAAAAACAATTGAAATCATGCTACATGAAAGAACAAAGAAAGCCAACTTGAAACCCTTTCTACCTTTGCCTGTTCCTTAGAATAGAAAACTTCCTATCATTTCCTTTAATACCCTAAGCAACAAACTTAACTAAAGGGAAATCTTCATTCCTAAAAATAGCCTATAGACAGAAAGAAAAAGAACTAATTAGTATATTTTGTTTTTCATTTTCTTAGGTGTTAAAAGCATAGCCTACCTCAACCTTTGTTATAATAAGTAAGCAACTAGTTTAGAGAACCCCTATTTTTGAAAATGTGCATGAAGAAGGACTCATTGCTTTCCATGTTCCCTAGAAGATAACAAAAAAGGTTTGGATTCACAGCCAAACAAGGAGTTAAAGTCTTGGCATGTCTAGAAACCCATTTCATTCTTATTTTTAAGAAACAAAAAGAAACCAATTTTATACATACAACACATGAACTCTATGAGGTAATGTAGATTTCATTTACTATTACTCTTTAAAAGGCCTTAACCCCTATTTGTTGGTTGTTTTAACCGAAACTATCAATCTAGTGATACAAAGATGCAGCAACTATCAATAATCATGCATAGAAAGAAAAGCTAAAAGAAAATCAAACAACCCTATGAGAATAGTCATGAAGCTAACTTTACTCCTCTTTTTTCCCTATTTTTTTGCTATTTGTGCTAGCTTGAAAGTCTCCCTTACAGAGTTCTTCTTTGATCTTCCCTTATTCTTTTTTTTTTTAAAATATAAACCTAGCCTTATAAACCTCCAATCATCGATTCTTTTCTATTTTTTCTTCTTTTTTTTTAGCTCCCCCTCCCTTCCCCTTTTTTAGCAAACCCCCTTTCAGCTTTTCAAGAGTCAGCCCGTATAAAAAAAATCTCATTTTGGTGAATATAGACTCTTGGATGAAATGTCATTCAAGGGTCAAAGTTTCTCCTTGTTTTTTCTTTTCAAGGAATCACCTTTGACCATTGGATCAAAATCAATGAAAGATCTAATGATCCATATTATTTATTGTAAAGGTTAGAATTTTATAGCCTCTAAACCCATAGAAAAACCATTTTAACCATGTATAAAGTTTTCGATATTTAGACTATTTTCTTAGAAATCAATGTTTTCACCCTTATTTTTTAGATTTTAAAACATCAAAAATCATGAACTATTATAAAATTGAGATCTGAAAAGTTTCATGAAAATTCGAGCTCGAGAAATTCAAATTACAAAATTACCCTTATAAGGGTATATTAGTAATTTCATACTTCACAAGGTACTGCTATGATTTCAAATAAATCAAAAATCATGAAATATTAAAAAATTAAGATCTGAAAAGTTTCATGAAAATCTGAGCTCAAGAAGGATAAATTACAAAAATACCCTTATAGGGGTATTTTGGTAATTTTAAACTTTTCAGGATACTGCTGTGATTTCAAATGCATCAAAAATCATAAAATATTTTGAAATTAATTTTAAACCATATTGATTTCAATTAAGATGTGAAATTTAAGGATTGACCCTGGTTCTATTAATTTTGACCAAGTTTTGTGTAATTTAAGGTTGACTTTGAGGTTTACTTGTTTCATTTATTTTTTATTTCTCATGCATCCATGTGAAAATATATCATCTATATAAATCCCATACAAAAGAGTTTAACAATAATCATACAGATCTCCTTTTTCTTTGTTTATTAGGCCTAAATATTGATGCATTTTATGGACTCTTTAAGAGACCTTTTTACAGGTTTTAAATAGGTTTTATTCAACCATGTTAAAATGTTTCGAATAAAATTCAATGTCTACAAAATTATTTATCATTTTAAATAAATAAATAGTTAAAATTATTTAAACAAAATTTATAATAATGATATATTTACAAATCTAAAAAATAAAATAACCAATAGTTATTTAATGTATTATTTATATAATTATCTATTTTAATTTATTAATAATGATAAAGAAATTTGTTTTCGTTCATTTACTAGTAATTTATTTGATTATGAAATTTATTATTTATGGTTTTTAGTTATTTATCTATTAATTAGTTTATTAAATAATTATATAAATGATTTATTAAATATTATAATAAATTATTTGAAAAACTTTAAATAGAAAAGAAAATTAAAATAAACAAAAATTATAATAAATAATAGATAAAGACTAAAAACAAAGGCTTTAAGTGATGAGGACATTTTCATCCAATCCTAAGGATAAAAAAGAAAAAATAAATAAACATGGGTAAAAAGAGAAAGAAGGAAGCAGTGAAAATGAAATATTTCCATTTAACCGTTAATTTAAACTCATAAACCTAAATGCATTGAACTTCAACTGTGAGTTCTAGGGGTATTTATAATTAAGTTTTAATCAAATTAACCTATTAAACTAATTTAATTCAATTAATCGATATATCAATAAATTAATTTTAATTGATCATTGAAAATGATTTTAAAGAAATTTCAAATTTCGGTTAATATGGTTCATAAACCAAATTAACCACAATTTTATAAAATCTATATATAACTAAAAATATATGAAATTGTCTATTTTATTTCAAGTTATTAGAGTTTTTAACTTAATAGTTTAGTGTTTAAATATTTTTGTTAGATAATTTTATTTAATTTATTTCACATATGAAAAAAATTTAAATTTAAAATATAATTTAACTTAATTAAATTTTATTATTCGATTAGCTAAAAAAATTAATTAAATCGATCAAATTAATTTCGATTGATTAATTTTTAAATAAAAAAATTTAATTTAATTAATAAAAATAAAATAAGATATTCATTCAATTCGATTTTAAAATTTTTTAATCAAAATTAATCGAATTAACCGAATAAACATTCCTAATTTAATGGTTGAGTTGACACCACATGAAGCCCTAGTATGTGGCTTTGTGCGTATGAAATAAGTATCAAAATGCAAGAATTTATGTGGCTTAAACCAAAAAGTAATGGCCCTCAGCCCCATTTCCTTGAGCTGAAAACAAAGTGCAGCAGCAGACTCCTCGTAAGATACTGGACAGGCCCCCCAACCTCCAATTTTCGAAGCAAGTTTAAGTCTTCATTTCAGAAAAAGCCAATTGAGAACGGAGAAAAATCGAGAAAAAAAGGGAATTGAAATGAGCCCCATGGCTTCACGGTTGATCCATTCCGGACTCTCACTCTCTAGACTCTAGTAAGTTTATATTCTTTTCTTCTGCTTCTTTGATTCGCATTTTGTTACGGTAAGATTCTTCGACTAGATATTCGAATTCGATCATTGATCAAACTATAGTTAATTGTGAAAACTTTCTTTTTAAATGTTAGTATAGACTTTCTCTATGGTTTTCCATCTATTTAAATCTGAAATTCTCCAATGAGGCTAAAATGTCTGCACAGATTTTGTTTTGTGGAAATGAAAGGTCAAAATTTTCTTCTTTACTATTGCCATAGACGGAGCAGTAATTTTATTCTTGGACCTTCTCCATTGTTATAAAACAGTGTAATAGGTGGGTCCAAGAATGGAAGATTTCTTTCAACAGAGCCTAACAAGGTTGATGAGCCTTTTAAAGTTGAAGAAGCTGAGACCGTAGATGTACCTACTCCTCCTTCTGAGAAGGTGTTAGTGAGACTATTTTCAATTTAGTAATGCTGGCTTTTTCTGTATCATGTGTGCATATATTTCGAATTATGTATTGTGCATTTCAGCTGCTTGTGTTGGGTGGAAATGGATTTGTTGGATCCCATATCTGCAGGGAAGCTTTGAATCGTGGTCTGACTGTTGCCAGCCTCAGCAGGTATTCAATTTTTCTTAAAATTCTTGCTGCAAATGATTGTTTCCTTGAATTTCTTCATATATAATTAAAATTTTTTGTAATTAATTTTTCTTTCTCATGTGGATCTGGCTTAGTAATGAAATTACAGTCTTTGCTACCATGTGATCTTCCAAGGAAGTAGAGTACAGAAGAAACTTCTGATTGTAAAACTGCAATGTATTTTAAAATTAGGTGTTCAAATATCATGAAAATTGTGGAATACTTTAACTTTAGAGACATCTAACTATATATATATATATATATATATATATTTTTTCTGCAAATAGGCATCTGATTTCAGTTCTTATTCGCATATTTGTATTCCGAAGGCTGATTATTCAGTTTTCCCGGTGATCTGCTTCCTGTTCTTGTTACAAATAAGCTCTACTCATTCTGAAGATGCTTTGTGGTATGATGTTCGATTTTTAAAACCTGGGACATACCCTATATTATTGGTTTGCGAAGATGCCTAATAACTTTATGCTGTGCTGTCTTCCCCTTTCCCTTTTCACCAATTACTTGTATTGCTTCCACTCCTTAATTTGGTTGCTTCTTTCTATTAGGTCTGGCAGGTCATCTTTACATGACTCTTGGGCAAAAAATGTGGCATGGCTTCAAGGTTTCTTTTCTTTATTTACTTGTCATGATCTTATTGGTGGTATGTTGTAATCTGTCTAACATGTTTTTGTCACTCCAGGAAACCTTCTTTCATCTAATTCATGGAAGGAAGCTCTGAATGGAGTGACATCTGTTGTATGTAGTCCTTTGACTCTGCTGATATAATCTTAACAACCAAAAATAAAATCTGAGCTAAATTTACGCACACAGCCATTGACTATGGTTCCACAATTCAAATGTGGCATTTATTTTAAAATTTCCTGGTTTACTTATTATTTAATTTGAATATTATTCTCTTTTTTAATTGTACGTTTTTTCCTGCTAATTAAGTTTAATTTTCTAGATCTCTTGTGTTGGCGGTTTTGGATCTAATTCTTATATGTATAAGATTAATGGTACTGCAAACATCAATGCAATCAGAGCTGCTGCAGAGAAAGGTATAGATAATTGAAGTCTGTTGTGTCTACCTAGGGAAACCTGGTGTGCTGAAGGAAAATTATCTTCATTTTCTTGGAATTACTCCTTTTATAACTAGCTCCTTACCTTTCCTAAAAGAGGAAAGAAAAAGAAAAAGAAAAGGGAGAAGAAATGGCAACAACTTCAAAGTCTGTCAGCATTTTTGTTCTGTATTCTTTCATTTGTATTTTCCTCTTGCCTTTGCCACCAATAACATTAGCTATGGACTTTTACCATTTTTCTTTTTGGACTGGCCCTTTAAATGTGCTTGCAGGTGTGAAAAGATTTGTTTATATCTCTGCTGCTGATTTTGGTTTGGCAAACTATTTACTTCAAGGATATTATGAGGGGAAGGTACTATTCTCTTTGCAGTTGGTTCCTGATGGCGATTTCTTCAGGTGTCTTTGTTGGATGATTTATTATTGTCTGTGTTTCTTCTTAACATTCTGCAGAAGATGTGATAGGGCAGCATATACACTAAAATATTTATTTTGATGTGTAAGTGGAATAATGATTCTAGAAGTCTTATGCCTATTATCTTTTCTCTCATGGAAAACACTCTTTTTCTTGTCTTGTTTGGCACAGAGAGCTGCAGAGACAGAGTTACTGACCAAGTTTCCTTATGGAGGTGGGTTTTCTTATTCACTTGCTGTAATTTGTGCAACATTCTGCATCTAGCATTTGTATTGCTTCTTATTCGCTTGCTTATTTATTGCTAATGGTTAGCTATAGTAGTTTTAGTTTGGATGGTAGTCTTCCTGTAACATTGAAATCATCACTATCTTTTATAGGAGCACCGGATACTAAAAAACTAGTTATGGTTCTTTACATCACTTAAAGATTTCGCATTTTCTATTTTAGGAGTGATTTTGAGGCCTGGCTTCATTTATGGGACTCGCAGTGTTGGAAGAATGAAGTTACCTCTAGGTGTTGTTGGTTCACCACTAGAAATGGTAAATGCCTCTTTTTTTTTTTTGAACTTTTTCTTTTTGCTTTTATTGTATATGTAGTCTTCGGTTAATTTGTTTCCTGACCAAACTGGAAATTTGAACAGCAAAACACACATACACATTGGTCCAAAGATCCATCCTAGTTTGTAGGGAGTTGGTGAGAGTAGTCAGCATTTGATGTCCTTGGTCATTCAATATGTGAAGAACAAAAAATTATAAAACCCACAATTAAATGGGAAAAAATTTTGCCCAATGGAGGAAGTGATTTATTGCCTAGCTAAACTCTAATGATGCGTAAAATGTGCATAAGTCATTTGATGTCCAGGTTGATGGAACTTTGTCTCATAAGTCATTGACTAAGCTTCTTCAATCTCTACAGGTTCTCCAATATGCAAAAACATTGAATCAGCTGCCAGTTGTTGGCCCAATGTTTACTCCTCCTATTAATGTTACTGCCGTTGCCAAGGTTGTAGTGCGAGCGGCAACTGATCCTGTTTTCCCTCCGGGCAACATAGATGTCTATGGAATACAACGATTTAGCCAGCAAATGTCAAGATAAATTAGTTGAACTTGAATTTTGGGTATTGTTCAGAAGTCTAGAGCTGTCAATATCAAGCCGTTAAAGGCGTATCTGGCTGACTGTAAATTCTTATAAAGGATGCTGTTGGAGTTGTGATTAGACAGCGAACCAACAAAGTGATGAGGTTCATTTCTGATGCAATAAAAACTTCCAGGAATGCTTGGGACATGGCTTTACTGGAACTTGGGTACTGTCTTGCAATTGTCAGGCATTAGCTTGTCATATTCACTTTGGATTTGGTGAAATCAGCCTCCATGAATGTTCTATTACGATAGAAAAAGTCAACACTGGAACACAAGAAGCGGCTATAACTGTTCCGATCGGATTAATGCGTAATATTATAAATTTTTAAATTTTGACTTTAATTAAAATAAATTTTTTAAAAAAATTGTTCGAATATAATTTTATCAATTTAGTTTATCCGATTTTGAAAATGAATTTTTTTATATTATTTTAATATAATTTTTATATATTTAAACATAAAATAATTAAACTTTAGAAAAATATAAAATAATTATTTTATTTTATAAAATTTAAAAAATATATAAAAATATATAATTCGAGTTAAGATATTTTCAATTTTTTTATTTTTTATCCGAAAATCATATGTAATAACTGAACATAATTTAAATTGAATTAAAAAAAAAAATTCAATCCTAACCGAACAAAATATTACAAATTTTAATCAGTTTTTGTTTCACTCGTTTTTTTTTTCTTTAATTTAGTGACTAATAGAGGAAGTAGTTGACGTAAATAAATTTTTTTAATTCGATTAAAAAAATGTGTATTGGCCAAAGCTTAAAACTCCTTTCCCTTGAACAAAAAAGGAAGCCTTTTGTATGGTTTTGAATTCAAGTATAGAATTAAGCATTTCTCATGGTTTTAGTCTTTTAGACAAGGTTTAAGGTGGCTTGTTTCATGAAGGTTTCAATTATTTTAGATTAAATTGGTGTTAGAAATCGGCTGAATTGAAAAGAGATAAATAATAATAATAATAATAATAAGTAGCACTAGTAGTAGTAGTAACTAGCAAATCAGTGGGCTTGGGCAGTTGGGCCCTTGTGGGTGTGGGTTGTAAACTCGCAAATGACGGCCTAAGATCAATTAAGAAGGGCGAGCCACGTGACATAACCCAGCCTAATAATATGCATCATTTAACATAACGTGAAGCAATATGGCGAAAGCAGTAAATGAAAGGACAGAGTTTAAAAAGGAGCAAGGAAGAAAATAGAGAATGAACCATAACCAGCAATCCGGCGATGCGAAGAATGATGACGACTCTGCTCTCTCCGATTTCCTTGCCTCTCTCATGGATTACACTCCCGCTGTATCTTTCTCTTCTCCCTTCTCAGCCATCAGTTTTTTCTTCAGAAATAAAAAAAAAATCCGTTCTTATGGAGGGAATTACTGTAAACTGTATACTATATCTTCGTTTCTAACAAATTTTCAACCTTCATTGTGATTGATTTTTGGCAGATACCTGACGAATTGGTGGAACATTACTTAGCCAAGAGTGGTTTTCAATGTCCCGATGTTCGATTGTAGGTATTTCTCCTTTTCTTTTCCTTTGGATTTCTTTTTATCTTCTGTTTAGCTCCCAAACCGAAATATGAAGGAAATTAACTCTATTCTTTGAAAATTTACTTAATCTTTATTGCTTTGTTTGTTTAAGATAGTAAAGTTTGAAAATTTTTCTTACTTTACACGAATAGCTCTGTCTAGGGTTACTTATCGTTCTTTTTAAGTGGTTCTGGGGTTCCAAATAATGGAAAATTTAATCTTTGAAATTAATTATTATTTCCATTAGGTGGCACATATCAAATTTTAATTACTATCTGTTTTGTTACGAAAATGAGACAGATACAGGCTATTAATTTCCTATATTCAACAAAATGGAACAAAGAAATAGCTTTATCTTTTATATGGTAGCTTGTTTATTTCTGAATCGTTTTGTTTGCTTTTCTATGTTAAAAAAGAGGGATGGTGGAGATTTCCTTTAATTCGAGCATTGTTTTAGAATATTTTAGATTTGACAAGGTGGTGTGAGCTTTTAGAATATTCTAAAATATTTTAGAATATTCTAAAATATTTTAGAATTGACTTTTATCGTACTTTTGCAGAATAAGGCTTGTAGCTGTTGCTACTCAGAAGTTTGTTGCGGAGGTTGCAAGTGATGCACTTCAGTATGACACCAAAGGCTTTTCTCCGTGTTTTTTCTCTCTCTTTTTTTTTTTTTTTAATTTCAAGAACAAATAAAAATTTCATTGCAGATATTTCCAGAATTTTATGTCAGCTGGAATTAGTTGCTTATAAGCTGTGAAATTTCTAGGACGTTGAGAAGAACTAGGTTCTAATTTTCTTAATTTATGTGAACTTATCAGCTATTTCTTTAGGTGCAAGGGAAATATTACAGAAATGGGTAAACTTTTGAGTAGTTTCAGTTTGGATTTGCTTATTTTTAACTTAGTATGTTTGCTTATGACATTTTACTCCTAATGTAGGCATTGCAAGGCAAGGCAGGCTGCAGTCATCAAAGACAAAAGGGAGAAGCAGCAAAAGGTGATCTATTTATGTTTGTTTTTAATGTTTCCCAACCCCTTTTGGCTTGTCTGATTCTTTTGTTCAAACAGGATAAGCACCTAATCTTGACGATGGACGACCTTTCAAAGTCATTGCTTGAGGTGGGCATTTTAATTCCTTTATTGCCCTATTTTTCTGTAAGCAAGTGCTATTTCTAATTTTCATGTCTTAGTTGAGTGGAGGAAATTTTATTACATGTTATGCGTTATGTTTTAGCTTATATCAGTAAATATCTCATTGAAGATTAATTCAAGTTCTCATTAGATTAGTTCTGGTTGCCATTGTTCACATTCTCTTTCACATTCTCTTGTTCACATGAGAAATCAGCATGCTGAGGAAGAATGCTATGATAAGCAATTAAACACTGATTTGAAATATTTTAGATTAACCTCTCTAGTCAGCACTCAGGCTGTAGTGACTGTTGACAAAGATTGGTACATGGAGCTTAGGAGAGGGTATGTTGACGATGTGCATGCATACTAGTGGAGGAAATTTATTACAGGCTATAGTCCTTCTCGCTTCACAGTTAGGCAGAAGCAACTTCTGGCTTTTGTGTCACGTGAATGGTTTTTTTATTAATTTAATGCTAGTGGAGTTAATCCAATTATTTATCTTGAAAAAATTGACTTTTTAGTCAAATTTGCAGATTCACTGTTATGGATTGTACAAATTTGATGCCTATTTATTTTCTATAACTGATCGCTTTAATTCAATATGAACAGAGGTTTAAGCAGAAGCTGGGCATTTATTTGTTTTAAAATTTGATTGGAAACGCATGTTGTGGCTGGTTAAGAATAAACAGAGTAATATGCTTCTAAATGGGTTAATTTCCTTAAGAAATATAAGAATATGTCCAGTCAATCTTTATTTGCTTGAGAAGTCTTTTGGAGACTTTTTCACATGTTTTAAAATTGGTCACGCGTTTTGCTCATGTTTTCAATGACAAATAGTATTAATTTCTCTGATCATTTTTTCATTTGTATATAGAAGTAATTGTTGGCTTATTTGAATGAGCAGTACGGAGTGAATGTGCAGCACCAGGATTATTTTGCTGATGACCCATCAACTGGGAGGGATCCAGCTTCTAGAGAAGAATAGTCGGAGTTGGACCATGTTATTGCTTGTTTGTATTTAGTTCATCTTTGCGATGTTGCTGCTAGTGCTACTGTAGCATAGCATGCTGCTCACTTTTTCTTCGCATAATGTCTGTTCAGTGTTGAATTCTGAAGATGATTATTATATAGTTCAGAGTAGTAGCTGTTTTGTCCACGATACGATGATGACGAGCAAGAAGCCATCTTTGGGTTTTCAGTTGAGGAGCTTATTTCTGTTGCCACTAGTAAATGGTTAGCGCGTTATTTACAATTTATTTATTTATTATTATTATTATAACTTCTTGTTTTTTTCCTCCGTTTCATCTTCTCTCCCCCTTCGCTTTTCATTTTGTCTCTCTTCACTGATTTTTGCATTCTTCATCTCTCATTCTCTGCAAAATTTTAAAAATTATATGAAAAATTAAAAAAGAAAAGTAAAAAATACTTATAATATTGAAAGTTAAAAGAAGGGTCAAAGTGTCAATTATTGGTTTAATCCAACATGTCAAGTCTTTGATTTCAGTAAGCTAAAAATTTTCGTTTGTGATTGTGTCGGAAGGCTAGAAGGCACATCATCTTTTTAAAATCTGAAACATCAGTTAAGTTTCTTTTAATTATGTTTCTGTAATCAATCAAGTTTGAATTGATACAAGTTTGAATTTGAGTTTAAGTTTGATTTAAAATTTGAGATTCAAAATTCGATTTAAATTTGATGAAATTTTATTTTTTTTGTTCGAATTCGATTCGAAAAAAAAAAAGAATTATTTAAGCTTGTTCGATAAAGTTTGATTAACATATAAAAATAAATTTAATTTTTATATTTGATAAAAGTTTGATTATTTGTGCTTTAATTCAAATTTAAGATATTTTATTAATTAAAATAATAAAAATATATTTAAATATAAAATTTTCATTAGACTTACGAACAATTCGAGTTGAGTATAAAAATATTTGAATTCAGTTCGATCGATGAATCGAATTTATAATAATCGAATCGAATTGAATCGAATTTATAATAATTGAATCGAATTTAAATTTTTTTCGAATTAAATTTGAATAATTTATAAGTATTAATGTATTATTTACACTCTTATTTCTTACCATCAATCTTCTAGCTACCATGTTCGTTTTTAACTATTCATAATGTGAGGCCTGATTTGCAAATGGCTCTACCCACTAGCATCTAACTGCCAAGCTCTTGGACGTGTCCTAACGCAATACGATTAATTTTCAGTTCCTAAGCTTAAAACTTATGCGTTGATGGAGAGGATGTAGGGGAAAGAAAGGGAAAGAACAAGAAAGTAAAGGAAGTAAATTTTTTTGTTTGATTTGTATTTTAAATTTAAACAATTCCCTCAATCGTTTCATTTTTAATTATATCAAATTGGAGAAAACATTAAGGAAAGAAAAGAAATAAATTTTTTTAAAAGACAAAATGAAATTATATCTTTGTTATTTTTTTAATTTATAAAATTACATTTTAAGTTTGACAAGTAATATTAATATTTGTTTTTTATTTTTTTTAATCAAACCCAAATCCATATCCTTACTTATTTTGCATTTTGGTAACTTTCATCATTTTCTTATATTATAGTCTTCAAATTTATTTTTATAGATTTTTTTTTGTATATATATATCTTTATTCTTTTATTCATTCTTTTAGCATATTTTGTATATTTTATATAAAAATAAACTTTTAAATTATTATTGGTTTAGGTAACTTAACATCGTCCATAAAAAAAAAAAAAAATTCATATTCTTACTTTTTGGTTATATCTCATATATACCTCTAGTGATTTGCGACACTTTCACTTGTGTGTCTGTGAATTTTTTTTTCACTTATACCCTATGATACACTTATTACCAAAAAAGAGTAATGACATCAAAAATAAGGATTAAAAGTGAATCACATGACTATAAGTGAAAAAAAAAATCACAGGCGTAAATAAAAAAATTGCTAATTACCAGAAGCGTATGTGGAGTTTATTCCTATTTTTTTTAATTTATGTTGCATCTTATATCATTTGTATATTTTATTATTATTTTATAAATTTAAGAAAAAGAATATATATACTGATATATACATGAAAAAATATGTATAATTGGAAAATTTATGCCCATATATATTAATAGAGCTTATTATACTTGTAAGAAAATATTAATATAAAATTATAATTAATTTTGTTTATTAAGACTTTTTTAGATTCTTGAATTTTTTTCATTGAAATTAATTTTGAAAAAAATAAATTGTATAAAAATAATTCCAAACTTACATTATTTTATGAATTAATAAAAATTCATCTCTTTTATTGATTTTTTTTTCTTTCTTTTTACTTAAAATAATTAATTTATGGATTATTCACATAGTAAATGAAACGTTTTAGGGTATAATTGAAAAAATATTACAATGAATTTTTTTTTCCTTTCCTCTCTTTAACCAAACAATAGATTTTAGGATTCCTTTCTTTTCCTTTATTTATTTTAATTATTCAAATAAAAGGTACATGTATCATTTCCTCTCCTCTAAAAATCTTTCATTCCTTTGCTTTCCTTTTATCCAAATACTGTAAGAGGATTCAACTATTATTATTATAAAAAAATTAAATTTGATGCACTATTGATATATAGTGTTATACATTATTAGTGCACCATAAACTAAAACATCATTATTAATAAATTTAAAATTTTTAAATTTTTAAAAATAAATATTTTTCAATTTTAAAATATTTAATTATGTTAGAATAAATTAATGATCTGACCATTTATAATGTATCGATAATATATAATATTTATATATGAGAATGCATCAAATATAAATTTGTAAAAATTAAAAACGAAATTGTGTGGAAGGTGAGTGGTGAACAAGCAAAGCAAATTCCTGAGTTGAATCTATTGGGTATTACTAATTGATCAGTTTGGCAGATTCAAGCAAAATGTTGAAATCTCCTCTGATCGTGCCAAATTTTCCGTTCATGGAGGTTTTGCCCAAATTATTGACATTGTTTTACTTAAGACCTTGACTTTTTAATTTCTTTTACTTCTCATAAACTTGAATTCAAAATCAATTTCTTTGTTTCAATTCTCTGTTCAATTTAGGAAGTCAAAGTTTCCACCTAGATCAGAATTTCTAGTTGTTTGAGAATCAACTTGATTTAAAAAACAAAAATTAAAAATACCAAACATTTAAAGACATTTAAAAGTACTGACATTTGAGCACAGCCAAGCCCACTATGTTTCCTTGAAAATATGTTTCGATGAATGACGCAAAACTTTTTTTTTTTTTTAACAAGCAATCTTTACTCAGCATGCACATTAGAAATTTCAACTTCTATTGTATATAATCTATCCATACAACAACAAATTAAGTGTTATATTTTATAATTCTCGAGTCGGTTATATAAAAAGTCAAAAAATATATATATTAATTATAATTTTAAATTTTTTACGTCACTCATTTATATTAAAAATAATTTTAATATACTTCATAATATCCTCATATCATTGCTTATTGCTTCCATCAATATCTTTAGAGTCTATTTCTAGAAGTTTTGGTCTCTACCAAATCCAAAACTCATTTTTCCTAATCGGTATGCAAATAAGTATATGTTTCACATGTCTAAACCATTTCAAATAATTTTCTCTCATTTTCTTAATTTTGATTATCCCTAATTTTCCTCAAATTTTTTTGTTTTTTATTTTGTTTCTTCTAATCTTATCATACATCTATATAAGCATCCACATTTCAGTTATACTCATTTTTTTCTCATTTAATTTCTTAATGGCCCAATATTCAATCTCATATAACAATACATGCCATACATTTGCATATAATCTATCTATATATATATATATATATATATAAACGTTTATATATAAAAATGTAAATTTTAAAATTGTTATAAAATTTTAAATTAACAAATTTATCCTTAAATATATAACTTTTATTAATTTATTTAAGTTTAATTTATACCAATTAGAAATTAAAAATAGAGTCTAAGTTAAATTAAATTATTTATAAAATTTTAATTTAAAAAATATTAAAAGTGAGTGACTAAATTATTATTAGTAATTTTTTATAAATTCTAATTTAAATTAATTTTTTTATTACTTGGCTTTTTATAATTAGATTCAAAAAGTACTCGAAGCATTATATGAAGACAATTATATGAAAGTATTAAAAGACAATTATATGAAGTTTGTTTATTTAATTATTGTAAAAATAATTATATATGTAGTTTATGTTGATAAATAAATTTATTAAAGATAATTATAATTAAGTCATTGAAGCTTTTTTATTTTTTATTTTAAATTTTTTGTTTTAATTGATTTGCTAAATATGTATGTATGTTAATGATTTTAATGTTTGTATGTTTTATAAGTTGATGATTTGACAATTGATAACATAATTAAATTCTTTTAGTCTTTTGAAATATTTTTTTAATATATATCATTCTTACAATTTAATCTAACCACTATAATTAATTTTCTTTTGTATTTTTCCTCTAGAATTTTTTAATTGTTATTATTATGAACAAAAATTAATATCAAATCAAATGCAAATCAATTGCACATCCTTTACCAATAATTAGCATTATGTGATTTATTAAACACTTTGAATACTTTAATTAAAATTTTCACTTGTGAAATTAGATTATTCAAAAGGTGATGGAGCTATCAGTAGCTCAGGATTGGGTCTTGCATGTCAAATTGTCATAAGAATTATTCACTTTGACTAAAACAATAAGTGATTTTTTTTTCTCTCAACTTTTATTTTATTGTGCATGTATACGATTAATTTCAAAATTAAGATGATAAATCTTTCTTAATTGTATTAGATTGTTTGCTTTTTGTGTCATCGAGGTGGCAGAAAAACCTAATATAAATTATTCTTAGTAAAGAATTATTAAGTGAAGTAAAATTAATTTTTTTTTCTGAATTCTTTTAAGGTGTGATAAAATTCATTTAAGCTATATTTTGAATGTGTTTATGCGAAAGTCACTTTAATTCATAAACATTTATGTTATCAATGCTAAAAATGAAATAATTATAACCTTCATAGGTGTTATGCAATAGATTTTTTATTTTGAGAATTGAAATTTCCTTAAAAAGAAATCATGACAAATACCAAGATTAGGAATTTATCTTATTTCATTTTTATTTTTAAAATTATGTTTTTAATATTTTTAATGAAAATTATGTATAATAAAAATTTTCCAATGAAAGAAAAATTAAGCTTTTAGTTAGTAGACTATACAATTATATTCAATCGATAGAAGCACTAATAAAAGATTATCCTAAGCAAAAAATGACACGAAAGATTGATTGGTTATGAATAGTTCTATCTTCTCCATATGACAAATAATGTTAGTGTTATATGATGTTTCAATGAAAAATATACAAATTATTGATTTCAAATTTCTTAAGGATTAATTTTAAACTCGCTTATTAGAAAAAACATTGTATACTC